GTTCCATCACTTATTCTTTTACAATAATGTAAAGGTAAATAAACTCCTAATGTTGGCCTTTTGGGTTTTTTTCTTTATATATTTTGGCCACACATTGTGGAATATAGAGAATTTTGCCCAATTTTACACTGGACTGAATCAAAAATACACACATTTCATGCTGTGAGTTAACAGTGCTAACTGAATCACACTTGTTGCGATTTACTTCTTCAATATAAATACCTTTCAACAGAATTATAAAGGAAGATGGATTGAGTATATTGTATAAAAGACTTTAAATGCAGAATGTTTGTTCAACTCTTAGACACCCCTTTTCAGAAATGTTTATTAATCCCACCAACTCAGACTAATTTGTGTGATTACAAGCAGATGCATTCAAATTCAAAAGGAAAAATAAACAAAGTTAGAAACATTGTTCCAGCTCATAAAATATTCCCGCTGAGACAGTATAACGAGCTAAGATTTATTTTAAACAAGCAAACAAACCAGAGAGTCTTAAGCCCGACCATTTTAACATAATTTCCCTGGAAAATAAATCCAGGGTGATGATACACGTCCTAATAATCCCATAAAAAACATAGACACTGCAGCACCTTAGGGGGGCGTGCTCCATTTTAACCCCGAGACTTCCAGGCCATACTCAGCACAGATGTTTCTGTATCCTATGCCGGCCACTTGGTTATGGCGTTCCATGTATATCCTGTTTGCTAGAATCTAGCACCCTGTTGTTGTATGTGCTCAGGGGCATCTTTGCACAGCCCGCACCTGGGGTCTTGCCTTGTGTGATAGACCGTAAAGTCTAGTGCTCAGAGTGTGTTCCTGCACTGCCATGATTAGTGCCTTTCTTTCAGTTCACCTTTGTCCAGCCACTGGTAGGATTTCTGGACATCCGCCAATTCTTCTGCTGGCAGTATATACCATGCAGGGTCCTGTACATCCATGATGCTCGTCTTCTCAAATTTCTGCTGCCTGAGATATTAACTAACCACAATCTCAGTTGTGGCCATCTTCCTGAAGTACTTGTGGATGTTCATTGTCTCATCCTGGGTAGCAGTTCTGACACTCACTAGCCTTGGCCACCTTCCTCCTTCTTAGTGTACAGTCTTAGGGTGCTGCATGCATGTCAGTGGCTTCTATCTCCTCTTTTGGCCAGCTTATTTCATGGTTCGTTCGTATTTGTCTATGGGACTACCCCCTCCCCCTTTTCTTTTAACGATCCAACTACACTTCTCAAGTCCAAATGGGCTGGAAGTAGCCTGCATATGATTATATCCGGCCCTAGATAATTTCACATGTCAGTTATTGATGGTCCTCAGTAGAAACAGAATCTTTGGCCCTGCTGAGAAGCCATGCAGGCAGGGATGGGACTTTATTTCGATGGGCACACCATGCAGGCAATCTGGGATCATATCATTATGTTAAAATAGGAAGGGGGCAGACGTTACAAAGACAACAAGTGTAGTGGTACAGGCTTGGTACACAGAGACAAGGGTGCCGGATTTAAACGCTAACGTGTCGGGAAAAGTGAATAAATGAGTGAAAAAGTAAACTGAGCAGCACTTGGCTGCATTTCAATAATACTGAAGACTGCTGAGTGCAGAATCTATCAAACTAGGAGCTGGCTAAAGTGACACCAGATTTTATTTTCAGCCATTTGACATTATGGAGGACAAAAGGTTTCAAACTTGTCCAGGCCTTAAAGCTCATGTGTGCTCTCCCATCTAGTAATAAATGCATAAAAAATAAGGCTTTTCTGAAAACAATGAATAGAAAAGTCTCACAGGCCGGAATACATGCTTCAAGCTATTTATAATTCTTACCCTGTTTGATCTGTTTCTCACCATAAACAAGCACAAGCAAAATTTGTTACCCTAAACTTTAGTTGCATAAGTTTTCCCCACTGATAAAAACGCTTCATACTACACAAAATAATTAAGCAAAAACAATTGAATGAAAAAACAACTAAACATATATTTAAAAAAAAAAGAGCAATGAGCAATGAGCTACCAGAACTTATTCTGTCATTTTACACATTTATTTCTTACACTGAAAACCAAAGAGTCATGCTGACAGATTTGTCACAGCAGCTTTTTCTTTACCATCTAGAAACAGTTCAGAATCAGCATACTTTATTAATCCTGAAGGAAATTATGTAAATATGCAACTTCTTTACAGTGACATTGAGTTTCACTAGTCCGGCCCCTTAAGATCAACATTTGCAGTAGATCCTGGTGGTGTGGATCAGTGAACCAGTGTCTCCTTCATTCCTGGCATACAGCTTGATATCATCTGTGTAGAGGTGGCGGCTAACAATTGCTTAAGTCCTTGGCCAGCCTGTTTGATGATCTGGGTGACGGGGGTTCAGGCCTATGCAGAACAGTAGTGTGGGGCAGAACATCTCCTTGGTAAATCCTGCACTTGAAGCTGACCTCTAGTGTTCGCCAAATCCCCATCAAATTCCTTATGGTCCTGTCTTGTACAGTC